TTGGTCGATGATGGTTGTTCTTCCAAGTTAGGTATCATACGTGGAGGTTCATAGAAGAATATAGAAGCATGATAACCGATTTATCAGGAGTGATGGAACCTTCCTCTACTCTTCGATTTTCGTGGCTACCAAAATGGCGGAGGCTGCTCCATTCCGGTAGCTACCCCTTGGCCGACTACCTGCAGGTTCCGTGTTTATTCTTTACTCAACCCGTGGTTAATAATGGTCACTTCCTCTAGAATTCTATTGCTCGCAAGTACCCGACAAGGATTTCTTCTAGTCCCGACTATTTTTGCAGATATAATTCCTCATTCGTGATCAATGACAAAATAATCTGTCACGTCCGAATATTTCCTTATAAAGAGCAGTAAAAACTTCCAACAAAATGGCTCGTACAGAATGATTTCTAATAAAAGAAATTTCAAAGACAAATAATAGCGAAAATTAAATTAAAGGTAGGAGAATTGAGAAGGGTGCTCCAAAAAATAGAAAAGTGGTTAGCAAACGAGAGAGACAGCTATAGGAGAACACACGGTACAGGTGCAATGCAACGTTTAGAAAATGGCGTGCAGCGGACGGCGTACCTCGGCGGTATCGAACGACGGTAAAATGGTTCTCGTACTCGTGGCTTTCCCCGAACCTAACCCCGTGGAGATTCCTCGAATACGTAACCTGTGACCGACCCTTTGACCTCGCGAGGTCGCAGAGGGTACTCTTATACAGGTGCGGAAAAAATGGCCTGGCAGCTTAAACTAGACGTCGAGACAGCCAGCTGGGTCTGTCGGTCTGTCGGTCATTCTCTCTCTCTCCCGTCGCAAAGCCAGAGGATGAAAACAAAAAAGTACCCCTCTCTTTTCTTCGAGGATGGCCTTGAACTTCGGGGGAGTCTCTCGTTGGCCGAAAAACCGTGTCGCAGTTTTTCCTCCGGCCAGCTACGACGCCGCCGGCAGCTCCACGAGCACGAATCACCGGGCGAAACGGCTCTTCTTACAGGCTACTTGTTAGGTAGCTCAGAAGGTGGGACGAACTCCCCCTTGAACCTAACCAGCCACCCTCTAGCGCCTTCTTCTACTTCGCCCCGCGGCCCGGCGATAAGATTTGTGGTTATAGCTTGTTTTTGGAGCACGCCGCGGGGGTCGAAGACGACCAAGCTTCTCCTAGGTCCTTTCCACCGGGGAAAGAAACTGGGAAACGGTTGAATATAGGGTGGACGAGCGATTCAAGGTCGACGTACCCTTCCGTTCGGACGCTTCGTCGCGAATACGGGGAAATTGGGTGATCCGGCTAGTGGTCTGGGGTGATTCTTCGTTTCTTCGGCACGAGTCAACGATCCGCCTTTAAACGGTCATCGTTTGGGGTGAGTGACTTCATCTTGGAGACATCGGGTCTGTCGTAGCCATCGGGCTACGTTGGTGCTCCAAAAATTGAGCATGTAGCCATCGAGAGGTGACGCAGATATGACCGGAATTGGGGTAGCCTTTGTCAGGCTCTCTTCTTTCAGAGTCCTCCAAGAAGAGGCTAGGGTTTAAGGGTAATTTGGATTAAGGTTAGGTGTGTGATCTTCGATAATTGCTCGGGTCTGTCAAGTTGAAGCTTGGACTTTTGTAATGGAGCCAAGGGGCTTCGTTACAAATTCATCGTATTCGGTACAAGATATATTTTCCACCCTCTCACGATATTCTTTCTTCTGTTTCAGGAGCTGGCGAAGCAGTCTTCGGTATTTACTTCAGTACTGACCTACAGAACTACCGGGCTATTAACTACGGGGACATTTAAGAAAGTGGAGCATCTTGGGTCCGGTGACCCTGTAACCGTGACCATCAACCCCCTACCGAATTGCCTCCACCCTTGGCAATAAGATTTGTGGTTATAGCTCTTTTTTGGACCACGTCGTAGGGATCGATGACGATGCTTCCTGCAGGATATCTTTTTACAAATGGACGACCTGGAAAGTGCTTAAGCTTCAAACTTGGACGCTGTACTCGAAGGGATTTCGCAGGGAATTGGAGCACGAAATCTGAGGTATCTTTTCTCTTAAACGATATTCGTAATTTTCATTCGCTTTTGGCACAGGAAGACCATACTCGCGAAGCTGTCTATTGTCGAAGAAATTTACAACGACCCGTGTGACCATTGAGTGACCATTTTTCAACGTCGATGGACGCTGCGTGGATCTTGGTTGTTTGCACGTTTGTTCGATAATTATTAATCGTCGAAGCCGTGCATAACGATGAATGACAAGTGGCAGACAAATAAGAAGAGATTGATTCAAGAGATGCTTCTCCGCAGACGTTCACCGACCCCTCGTCTCGGTGGGGTGACTTTTTATCCTAGGGACCGTTTTTTCTCTCGCTACGAAGAAATTCCCCAGGAATTCGTGGACCGTTTCAGGGGCGGCTTTTTGCATGATGCCTCGTGATGCTCGTGACCTTTTCCAACCTATTCCTCGAAGCGTACACCAGTGTGAAATTAAGTTGTAGGAGGTCAGGGTCTAGTCTCGTGTTCGCCATTCAAGAAGTTCTTCTGCCGCTCATCGAATTATACTCTTATCATCTCGGTTCTTGTTCGGACAGTCTAGTCAAACGAGCAGTTCTTCATCATGTTTATAGTGGCTTTAATAAAAAACCCGTAGTCTATGCCTGACCAGCGTGCATCGGATAATTAGTTAATTAGTTACACGATGGGATGGTTCTAGCTTTGTGTCCGCTCAATTTTTGACATTTTTACGATCCTGGAACTCTTAATAGTATTAAGTCGATTGTACCACCCGAGGATTACTCGGAATTGGTAGATAAACGTCGTGAAAAAAAGTCCTAGTTTTTTGGAGTATGCTCCGTTTTTGTTGCTTCCCTGAAACAGATATGAAAGAAGTGACTCATCCTCATACTCTGATGTTCTTTCGTATTCTTCGTAATTAATGTCACGGTGTGTTCCTCTCCTACGAGAACGAGTCTTAGCATAAATTAAATGGATGAGCGATAAATTTGTTCATCATCGAATAATAGAAAAGTGGAAAAATATTTTTTGTCGCGAAATAACCGACGATCGGGCGTCTTTTCCACCATTTCGAGACTTTGTTATCTCGTTTCTATTAATTTTGCTCCGAAACGTTCGCTTTATTAAAAGCAATCTCCAGCGATATCGAAATAATTAGGGAAATTCGAACGATATATTCAGTAACGAGTGCGACAAGGAAGGAAGCATTAGGAAAGAGAAGGGGATAATAAGAGAGAGAGAAAACCCGCCCGTTTCCCCACCCTTTCCTCTAATCCCACCGTGGCAGCTCGTTACCCCCACCACTATCCTCGCAGCACGAGCAACTCGCGATGTATCGCGAGGGGCAGAGCCGAGGATTTCCGAAGAGAGCCGAGCACGGCCGAACGGTTGTTCGAATCGCGACTCCCGCGTCAGTGCTGCAACCGCGTCCGCGGTCCACGGTTCACGATTTCCGGACCCCGCCGGTTCTGTTTTTTCCTCGCTCGTCACAACCAGAAAAAAAAGAGCAAGGGTGGTCTCCGCTTTCCAATAGGAGACGCGTGCTAGCCGAGCAGCGAGAGAGGGTGGTCAACCGACAGCATCCGCGAGAGGACGCCGGCGAGAAAAACCTCGGTCGCTTTTCCGGTGGCAACGTTTTCCCGCCACTTTCGGTCGCCGGTAAGATGGCCGCGGTTGCGATACCATCCTCCCCGCGGAATTGGGCGTTCGAATCTCTCGGACAGTGAGCTAGGACGTGTAACCAAAGGACCTGTGTGCTTTGACAAGCGACTCGGTGAGCAAGTGAACGGTTCCGAGCTACTGGTATCATGAGACACGCCAGCCTCGCTGTATGGACCGTTGTTCCGGAGGTGGTCGACGTTTCGATGGTAAGCCGGTAGTCATCTCGCGAGTCATTCTGCGCTTCCCGGTGCTCGAGAAACGCGATCATGGAACGTGGTTCGAGCGTCGTGCGAGCGGCTAACCTGTAAATGCGAGTGACAGTCGATGGCGACGCGGTGAGGAGTGCAATGACAGTGGGGAACGAAGTCCAACGGTCGACGGAGCCGATCACAGGGACGTCCTGAGGGAGCTTGGGCGAACGAAAGAGAAAGAGAGAGGAAGAGAGAGAAATACGGTAAACAAAAGTGCAGTTTCCAAGTGCAATATCGCGAGTAACAAGTGTGCAATAATTCACGTTCGATCGAGACTTTTCGTAAGAAAAGTGCGAGTCGATTGTGCTAAGGCGTGTGATGCTAAGAGAGAAAGGAAGAAAGAGAGAGACAGAGATACGGGCACGCGTAAGATAGACAAAGAGGGAAGACATTAGGGAATAATCTAGTCAAAAGATCGACCGTAGAACGATATTATTTTTAACACCAACGGTCTTTGCGAGTTCGGACTTGATCGAAGGCCGCGAGCCAATCACGGACGGCGCAAGAGAGAAAGAGATAGGTGGACAGCGAAAACATAGGCCAGTGCGGTTCACCCTTGACGCGTCTGTAACGGACACGGCGTGTTTACATCGTGCACAAAGTTCTCCGTACTTCCAGTTCGGTTGTTCGCGGCGTAACACGTACGCCATAGTTGGTGCTTCCGATTATCGTCGCGTTCTTCAGAACGTATATCACGCGGTTTACGTTCGTGCAAATAGTGCGTAATAGTTTTGCCTCGATATTACGTCGAGGGTTGAAAGTTTGAGTGCGAGATGCGTGGAAACGGGACGAGACTGTCTATCGGAACGCAGTGAATCTTCTCGAAAGTGTGCTGGTCGCTGTTTCACGCCACGAGACGCGACATAGGGAACGAGGAACTGGACGTTGTCCGCGTGGATCAAGTTCGATCCGGAAGCGGTTGGGAGTCAAATCGGTACCGCCATTGCGACCAATTCTTCGCAGTGACGTAACAAGGAACCGTGGTGCCTCGGGACTGTTCTACGGTGCCGAACAAATTTCTCGTCCACGAGAATACAGTGTTTGAACGGGAGTACGCTGTCGGGTGACTTTGCATAGGTGTTCTAGTGAGATATGTATCCGTGGTACCGGGACAGCGTCGCGGCGGCGGCGGCAGCCGGCCTCGGGGGCCCCGTCGGAGTCGTCGGTTCCGGGTTCTGCTCCACCGGCCCAGGACAAGGCGGCACCACCATCAAAACAGAGAGCGGATATTCGGATTGCATGCTCGCCCTCGACTACGTGCAGAGTAAGGTGAGTCCTTATCATTTTCTTCTATCTGTTTTCTTACCTATTTTCTTCCATATTTTCTTTCGTATTTTATTCTTTCTTACCGCTCAGCGTTTTATATCCGATTTATTAACCGCTTTAGTATCGACTTAATTTTTCTCGCGAATCTTTATATATACGAACTCTTCGTGACGATCTAATCGATCGAGCAGTGTCTATAATTAGAACCACGCGATTCCGGTAGGCCGTTGAAGATATGACTCGGAAGGAAGTAATGGGTGACAGTATCATCCGATATTAGGAGTCGTAAATTATAAATTACGATTTATTTTCGTGGCCGAGTGAGCTCGGCCGAGCGGACACGGAATTTCGACGACGTTTCGCCCGAGGCTTCTTACTCGTTTCCAGGAATTCCATCCCTTTGTTTACATTCGAAAACGGACTAAGCGTTCTGTTGTGAAAATCGAGGACTTTTAGCCAATGCTCCGGCCAGTAGCGGAGCACGGGGCCCGGCTAACGTGTTGACGTTGGTGTTGCTCGGTTCCCGGAAAAGTTTCCTCTTTACACCTTCAATGTTTACCGCTAATCCAGGCAATAGAGTATCGCGAAATATTTGATACATAATTATCACCGATTTTTGAATTATATCTCGCCAAGGGAAAAACAAATCGTCCCATTATAAATCATATTTGATTACGATAACAACCAGGTTAATACTATGTAAGATAATTATGAAAAAATGTCGGAAAAAATTACTATCTTCAAAATATTTTCATAAAACTCGCGAAGATTCGTGGCTCTTTATTTATTTGTCCCATGAACCTCTAAAATGGAAGCAGGTTTTGCTACCAGATTCGAATTCAGCATACCTAAATGTATTAGAAGAATTTCCATTTCCAAAAATCAATATTTCATTTTGTTTTCTTTTTTTCTCGCTATCCGTGTTAAAACTTTTGGTCATTTTTCATCTAAACCTGGTACCGGTACCCTAACACCGCCGATATCACCGGGAAATATATATTCTTTAAAATATCGTTCAGATTTTTCAACGAATCGTATTCTTTAATATTTCTATTCGAAGTATCCCCTGTGGTCTAAGAAATTTCTATTTAGTTTGTTAGAAAACTCGGAATTAATATACAGATTCCCAACCGAATTGTCATCTCTAGAATTTCGATAGAAGGCACCCCTTTGAATCGTAGAAATTTTAGAAAATGGCGTTCAAATTTTTAGATGAATCATATCCTATAATACTCTTATTCGGAGTATCCCTTTTGGTTGAAGGAATTATCATTGATTTTGTTACAAAAATTTAGAATTAATATGCAGGCTTTCGAGGGCATTTTCTTCTCTGAAATCTCTATAGCAGGCACCCCTTTGAGTTGCGGATATTTTAGAAAATGGCGACGAATCGTGTTCTTTAATATTTTTATTCGGAGTATCCCTCTTGGTCTAAGGAATTCTCTTGTATTTTGTTAGGAAATTTTGGAGTACCAAGAAATTTCCGAGAGAATTGTCTTCTCTGTACCTGGTACCTGTACCCCAATACCCCCGTTATTACCGGGAAATATATAATCTCGAATATTTTAATTTTTCACACCCTATTCGGAGCTCACACCTGATGGGACGACACGCGTTATATTATTCACGTATGAAATTTAATTTTCCCGCGATTGCGCGATTTATTTCGGCACACTCGATCCCGAAAAATTCGCGGGGGGCGAATTGGTTCTGCGCTCGAAGGGGTTGCGTATTCGCGTCCGGGTGAACGGTGGTAGAAAAGCGAAAATTGACGGTAATTGATCGGAATTGCGTAATAGTAGGTTCGAAAGAAGATTCTGAATGAAACACCCGTTTTTTTTCTTTTTTTTCGCTTTCCTGTTCCGCGGGTTAACTCGTCTGCTTGGTTTTTATCAGCCACGCTTTTGGAGCAAGGTTTTTAGCGGCTGAAAGAAGTTCTTGGAACATGCGCTCTTTTTCCAGCAGCTGTTATTATTCGGTTACAAACGGTGCTTAAATATATTTCGGTGCGAGGCGTGGGTAAATTGAAATAGACGAGGAAATTGCAACGCTTTATTGCGAAAGATCGCGAAATGATCGTTCCGTAATTTTTTATTCCGTTTAATACGTTAACACGTTCACTGCCACGCACTTTTTCTCTGCTGCACTCAGGCCACAATAAAATTTCCATTATTCTTGGGATATAATGAATTATTGAACAATGCGATGGAGGGGGAGGAGGGGCGGAGAAAAAACCGTGCACTTTTCATTTCGCAATGTTTTCTATTTATTTATATCGCGCAGATTTTTGAAAAGGAAACAGGGGTTGGTGACTGGTAACCACTGTTGTAATAGAAAACGCGTTAATAATCGTGGAGAACCGTATCTAATGTAAAATTAAACGAGTCGAGTCAATTTTGAGTTACCATTTAGTGTAACAGTGTGTGAACGAGTGTATTACATATGTATTAACACTGGAAACACCAAAGAACTTGAAAATAAATCGTTTCAAACTTTTCATCCCTGCAATTGCCGAGGAGTTGCAGTTGCTTTTGGCAAAATTAATATCGATCTTTATTCGACTGTGATTTATATAACAACGTATTGCGTAATAATATTCAATTATCATAAATAATGTATATTATATTTAGGTACTTATTACACATCGGTGGTTCTAGTGTTAAAGTTAGAATTACGAAGAAGAATTATGAAATCACTTTTCCAGACATTTTATTTTCGCAGTTTCCGAAAATTTGCAACTGCGAATTTGATAAAATTACGCGTGAATTTTGTTCAGGTATCAATCAGGATTTATTAATATCGAAAAATTGTGGTCCAAGTCAGAGATTCGATGGAGATACTCTTATTATTTATTTCGTGTTGCATTAATTCATATTAGTATAGCATAAAATAATTTTTTCCAAAGTAGTAGGTGGTGGAATCGTTAAATCAAGTTTGCAGTTTCATCCTAATTAATTTTTTGATTCGTAACATACTTAAAACGCAGGGAAACATGTGACTTAGGTCAACATTGTACACATTGGTACACGTAGCTATTTGTCTTCGCTGTATCGCCATAATTATTATCATTTAGGTACAATACATCAACCTACTTACTATACATCCGTGGTTCTAGTGTGAAATAAAATAAATCTCGTTTGTTATTATTTCTGACGAATTTACTAGAAGAAATTATGGTCCTCGTCCTCGTAGTCCACATAAACATTCAGTCACCACAGACATCGCCATATTTTCTCAACTCCCAGCGCGATATTTGTAATATAAATATTTTTAGAGAAAAAGATTCCACGATTCATCGATTAATCCCCTGTATTATGAGGTAATTACATGAAACTGCATGGTAAAATTATTTCACTCCAATTATTCCACTCCGTTGTGTATTTATTTTATTAACGACAAAATTCTATAAATTTGTAGAATTTGTTCAAATTTCGCGCGCTTTAAATTACGTTAAATCGTGTTAAATATAATTTCAGTATGTGGAGAATGTAATTCATTTTTATCGGGTTTAGCGCGATATTTATAATATAAATATTTTTGGAGAAAAGGACTGGACGATTTATCCATTAATTCCCTGTATTACGATGTAATTACAACAAACTGTGCGTGGTAAAATTATTTCACTCGAATTATTTCACTCCGTTGTGTATTTATTTTATTAACGACAAAATTGTACAAATTTGTAGAATTTGTTCAAATTTCGCGCGCTTTAAATTACGTTAAATCGTGTTAGATATAATTTCGGTATGAGGAGAACGAAATTCATTTTTATCAGTTTTAACGGGGAAAACTCACCACTCGTGAGGGGTTGAATTTCCGGTAATTAAAATAGCCGATATATCGTTATATATTATTACGAGTTATATTGTAAATAATGCATTATAAATGGTTGAATTATGAGTAATTATAGTAGCCGACATATCTTTATATATTATTAGGAGTTATATTGTAAATAATGTATTATAAATGGTTGAATTCTGAGTAGTTAGAGTAGCCGATTTACCGATAATTTTTCGCCACTTGTGCCTCGTTATTTTTCATTGTTCTAATGTTCATTTGAAATGGTAATCGGTTTGTTTGCCCATCGTTTGCCCCTTTTTTGTTTCACCTTTACCCGATACTCTTCGATTTACATTGCTCGTTCGAAAACATACGCGAATTTGCCCGCTCTCGGTGTTCTCCGGCCGTGATCCTGTTGTACAAACAGAATGGCTCATTCGATTCTAGCTGATTTATTAAAAGGCAATGTTGCGAATCGGAATCTCCGCGCTTCATTCTTCTCGTTACTCTCCGCGCAACGTCGTTTCTTGGTAGCGAATCCTCATACCGAGCTGCTTGCGCAATTGCGGAGAAACGAAGGGCAGGCAGATGCATTTTTGCGCAGAGGAAATCCTTTCCACGACCATGTTACTGGAAAGTTTATAGTCACCGAACATTTTCTTCCCGGTATCGGTATCGCACGAGTATCTTTGAGTAACTCGGGTAAATTCCGTGTTCGCGAAATTAGAGTATTCGGGATTTCTCGACACGGGGTTTCGCGAAATCTAGGGAATTTCCCGTGATAGGATACAATATCGTAGGAAAAATTCTTGCGTTGAGAAAATTTGATCGGTGAATTTGCTATTTCAGATTTTTGGATGAAGCAGTATATTATTTAATGTTTATATTCGGAGTAGCGCTTTTGGTCGAAGGAATTCTGATTTATTTTGTTGGAAAACTTGGAATTAATGTAGAGATTTCCGAGGGAATTGTCGTCCATAGAATTTCGATAGAAGGCATCCCTTTGAATCGCGGAAATTTTAGAAAATAGCGTTCCGATTTTTGCATGAATAGTATTTTATAATATTCTTATTCGGAGTATCCCTTTTGGTCGAAGGAATTCTGATTTATTTTGTCAGAAAACGTGGAATTGATATATTGATTTTTGAGGGAATTTTCTTCTCTGGAACCTCGATCGAAGGCACCCCACTGAATCGCGGATATTTTAGAAAATAGCTTTCAAA